GTTAGGTTGGGTTAGGTTAGGTTAGGTTGGGTTAAGTTAGGTTGGGTTAGGTTAGGTTAGGACCAGTCCCGTCTCATCTACAACATAGTCTGAAAAGTATTTCTGATAAAAGGAAGAATTTTGAAGTAAAATTAAAAGAATACCTAAATACACACACTTGTTATTCTATTACTGAATTTTGAGAGTTTAAAAAGGACTCGTAAACTTTCTATAGTTTATTGTACTTAAGTATTATAAATTACGACCATCATCATCAACACATGAGCGTTATAGCAGTGGATTTAGTGTAACCTTTTTAGTTTGTGAAACGTAATTAACTGACTAACTAGATTGCTTACCGAACCCGAAGTTCATCAACGAAATAACTAAAGCCCTCCACCGGACCCTGTCCTGTGACTTGTGAAACGTAATTAATATTTTAAATTGTATTAATCTGTCTGTGTTATGCTTTAATGACTCATTCCACGTTTTGTAGTCAATTTGACTAACTTTTGGATCCGTGAAATATGTGTGCCCTATCTGATGGGCAGAAACTCAAAAAAAATACCCAAAGATTTTAGGTAAAAATGGTTCACCCCGAAATTACAAAGAAATAATGTTGCAACATGTGCTAGCTGTTTGATTCATCGCATTCTTGCGAATGTTTAACTAGCACTTGGAAGTGTTTGTACTCAGATAATTACGAGACGAGGACGACTCATCAAGATCGAGAAGATTTGGAGCCAGAGTTGCAAAAGAATGAAACTGGTTGTGGGCATTCTATTGAAACTCATTCTTCACCTTGAGCTGTCTCTTTGTTAACATAGGATTAGCTGCGCGGAGGAATACATTTGTGGCATGCAAAATTCAATGTTGGGAGGAGCATGCTTCTGAGAAAAGTGTGGAATATGTTCTTTGTATCAAGAACAAAACCTTAAGATTAAATAAATAAAACAAGACAGGAAATATGTAATCCATTCTGGAATACAAAGACTTTACACGTGCGGATTTTTTTAAATTATAAATTCTGATTGCTTGTAGATGAAATTAAAATGGTTTCATACACTACGAAATCGTTACCATTAGCATCGTCTACATCAGTGGTATTCAACATGGGGTACGCGTACCCCCGGGGGGTACGCGAAGACATCTTAGGGGGTACGTGAAATTTAAAAAAAATATATTATTTTACGATAAACACTGAATAATCAGTAATATAATTTATTTAATTTATTTTAGATGTAGATTATATACTATGTATAACTTGAATTATACACCAACAACTTTGGGGGTACAAAGTTGAAGAGAAATTATATCTGGGGGTACGCGAACAAAAAAGGTTGAATACCACTGCT